TGCAATTTTATGCTTCTGGCTCATTTATGTAACATAGCTGTTCATAATTATTTTAGATCCATGGTGAATCAAGCATTTTTGTTTGTTTGGATTAGCTATGAAAAGGGAAGAACATATGGTGTTTGGTGTATGCCTGGTATGAGGCATTGTTACCATGTTGTAAAACAGATGATACGCCAAAATTGTGAACAGAGCAGAATGGTGTATGGGTTCAACTAATTTGGATAGTTATTGCATATACTTTCTTACAATAGAAATCTGCCATTGTTCTTCTTGGATAACATATTTTCCAGAATATGTGAAAAAAAGATCTGATGAGCAGCATAGTGGCCTTACCAATTATGCATAGCTGCTAACACACATAGAAATGGCACCACGAAAATTGACAAGAATCAGATGAAATGTTTAGAAATTATACCAAATCTTCCTGAAAGGATGAAACTATCTGATTTATTTAGATATCATCTCCATTTTGTTTTGTCCTACCCTTTGTTATTGCTGCCATGTGACATTGGTACATCCCCTGTGAAGAAGTGATGATTTGAGTGTATACACCACTGGCAGATCATGACCTTGTATCTGGTATATCTTCTGATAATCCTATGTTAATCTCCCCTGTTTAGGAGCAACTGACCCCTGGATCATTTCACTGACCCCTGTACTTGTTATCTGACCCAGGGATTATTAGTAGGTAACACCCAAGACCACCCTAATGGCTAGAGGTCTGGAACTTTGCTAACTGGAAGAGGCTCTAGCAGTTATATTTTACAATTTTATTATGAACAAAAGTCTTATCATTTTTAACATTTCGATTTTACGAAATTGATTAGATTTAACAACATTCTGTGTTTATTTTGAATTATAGGGTGAATTCATGATTTTTTGTGGTTTTTGAACACAAAAGCACAAAATTCAACCATTTGAATGTGTATTACATTGAAGTTATGTTATCTTTGTTTCATTCATGAATCTATCTAGCCATATAGTATTGCAGTTTTTATGAAGTATAGTAAAGTAAACCCCAAGCTAAAACATATAGAGTAAAATAAAGCTGTGTTAAAACCCTCAGAGACTCAGATGATGGATATTATTATCTGAACTAGAAGTTTACCCCTTGGGAAAACCTTCTATTGTTGGGTAAATGAAGTGATATTATTTTTTGCTGAAATATGTGAAATACAACATGGCTTGACTTAATTATGTAAACGTACAGCTCAGCCTGCATTTGCTCATTTACTGTCAAGAGATTCCTCCTAAAATAGTAGATAAGTCATATTCTACCACGAGTTTAGCATTTAAAAAGTTACAATGGCTCAATACCCCTGCTTGAGAGACCTCCAGGATGTGTCAGTCTCTGCACCAAGATTAATCATCTCCCTGTGTTATGTCCCCTGACCCTAGTATAATTAGTCATGTACAGTTGTCCTCTTTTGCAGTATCTTCAGTAAGTGCACACTAACCTTGGAACCCTGGCCATGGAACTAAGTACAGTTTAGGATCATCCAGGCCACATACAAGTATATCAATATACAACACAGTGAAACCTGTATATTTGAACACCTCTCTTATCTGAACACCTCTTAATGTGAACACTTTTTCTTGGTCCGATATTCATTTTCTCTCATCAACTTACATGTTTATAACCTTGAAATGTGAACACAGACTAATCTGAACACTCTTAACTGGTTCCAGAGGTGTTCAAATTAGATAGATTTTACTGTACATAATATAATTACTTATGGCATTATACCCCATTGTTCTCATGTACGAACTATTTCCATCATGCCATCTTAACCTATTGGTCCCATATATACTAATGTTTCCATATTGTCATCCTAACCATGTTAATGCTTCCCTAGGGTGTCTTTATATGTACACACTCATTGCCTCTCAAATTTTAGCATTTCTACTTTGCCTCAAAAGAACTTGAGAGAGAAAAAAGAATGAACTGCAGTATATCTTCATGTGAGGTATGATTTATTGAATAATCTAAATGTTTTATTTGGATCACACTTCTAAACTACAAAGGGCAACAATCAGAAAGCAGAATTGGATGATGAATTTCTTTAGAAGAAGCAATGGGCAGCATTAGAAAGAGATATATCTCTTTAAGAGTAGTGTTTCTAATATATGTTTTAATGGGAACTGACATGAACTGGACTCTCTGAACCTTTACATTGAGGCTTTGCATGTGTTGTCAGAATAAATTGAGTAAATGGGGATAAAGTTTCATAAATACCTAATTCGTGTTCTTCATTATATTAGTTGGCAGTGGAGGTTTAGATTTGGTAAGGTAGGGCTGAAATTATTAAACAAACACATAATACTAACAGGTTTTATATGTGTTTCTGCTTGTGATGTACCTTATTCTGAATATACAAGTTACACTTAACAAGAAGGCATTAACATGTAGAATGTAACCACCTGCCATTTGTTACAGACACTGAATGCCAAATGTTGAACACCAAGTTGGAGCAATCACCTTATCAACTTATATGGGGTCCAGGAAACTGGGCATGTAAGACATGGCTGTAATGCTATATGGTATATATGCAATGTTGATGGGGAAAAGCCAGTTGGCCCTATAGCTCAGTGAGAGAGCAATCGCCTTGTAAGCGAGGGCTTGTGGGTTCAATCCCCACTGGGGTGGACTGACTTTCACATCAGCCCTTTGCACAGGATTGTATTCTGTGTTTTCATTAACTTTTTTTCGTTATATGAATTCTACCATCTCAAAAGCTCTTCCCTTCATGGAAGCTATCGGGAAATAAAATTACAATTATTTTTTATAGTATATTTTATTGTATCAATCACATAAATGTGTGCCAAATATTGTGTTCATATAAAATGGAGATTGCACCCCAGCATAGTGCAACAACAGCAAAACCACATGATTTATTCTTTTACATTAGCAAGAATGAGTAAGGAATTACATGATAATTTCTCTAATAGATTTGCACCATGATAAATCCATCTATCTTAGTTGAAGGTAGCCCCTAAGCTGTTTTTAATGCTAGATAAAAAGTCAAGTTTTGTTATTGGAAAACTGTCACTTGGCTTGCATATATTTTTTCTTTGTAGACTTTGACTGATGGTATTAAATAGAATGTCAAATGGTCATTTTAATAGTGTTTGGTACATTTATCATTGGGGAATTCATATATGTTTAAATAGTCCATTATTTGAATCTTAAAAATGGAGTTCATATATTGCAGATAAAAAAGATCACAATTTCCAATTTGTATCAGATTATTCCAAAGCAAAATTGCCTCATAGGAAATGTTGGCTAATATATGATATATTAATACATATCATTTCTTGTTTTATATGGGGAAATAAATTGAATGCATACATGTAGACATATGCACAGAGTACTTCATCAATAAACTAGAAAAATAAAAGACATTATACTGGGTGTAGGTAAAATTATTCTGACCTCTGCATAGCATGGCAAGAATTGAGTTGTTGTTTGTCAACTCCATATCTTCCTGTCGGCAGGAATTCTAGTGATTTCCTTCTGTGCAGTCAACCATATATGTGATAGCATAAGAGGAGGTATGGACCCATGTTTCTCTGCAGTGAGGCCATGTGTTTATCCCCAAAGGAGGTATTAACCCAGGTCTACACTCAGAACATGTGACATATATGTGTTATACCCACAGGAGGCATCATGATATACCATGACATCTCATTTCTTCTCAGCCCTGAGATGTTTCAGGTGAAACAGAAAGATGCTATGAGTATCAGAATGCACAGGAGGTGTTAACCCAGGTCTCGACACTTGGAATATGTGACATTAATGTGTTATTCCCCACTGGAGGTGTCAACCCAGATTACTTTGCACTTAGAAAATGTTCTCTTTTGAACTGTACTTGTACATACATGTATATATATTCCTAAAAAATGTACATCAACTTAAATCAATTTGCATCGTGACCATGTGACATGAATTCATTTAACCCAAATATTCAAAAATATTAATATGAAAGATTAATGCAACTATGACTAGCACTCTATTAATTTACCATATTAATCAAGGAGTATATAACTTTAGTTTGCATGTCACATAAAATAAGACCTCCCTGTATTTCCAGATCTGTATCATCATTTAAGCTTATATACCTGGACCTTACAGTACCTGTCATGTCAAGCTCAATCAAATCAAAGCACAATTTAAAAGTCTAATCACCATCATACCACCCTGATGTATAATTTACAATACAGTTATGGCATCAAATGAAATAATAATGAATATCTTTGAAGGTCCTTGATTATATTCAAATAGGATTGATCCGAACATTTGATATGTCACTGTTAATAAGTGAAATACAAGAGAACTCTCATTAGAAACATTAGTTACTTTCATTAGAAGCATTAGTAAGTCTTTGTATTTATACTTACCAGGGGAACAAGTGAATTTATTAGGATCTGAGAGTAGAATTGAAGTTGGCATGCAAAGCTGGATTGCCGCTTCCGATCAAACTAGGATCACTCTTTGATTTTGATTGTCGTTTCTCGTGATATTATTCCAAATGATCTATCATGTTATATATTTCTGTCTTGAGCTCTTAGAAATCAGCTCTTGAAAGATGTTATGATTTTTTGTCATGATTAAGGTTGATACCCTGAACTCATCCTGTTATTTATTCTATGCTCTTCAGAAATATCTTGCTTCATCAAGCTTTGGGCCTATCCTCATAGAACGTAGTGATTGGGCGTGGGAACCGACAATGCTTCAGAAATATCTACCTTATATACATATGAAATATAATAGCAAATAGCACAAACAACAGACAAACAAACACAAACAATCAAGTATCCTACAAACAGACAACAAACTTTAAAGCTTTCAGACAACCAAATAACATTAATTATCTTTACTAATCATTGGGGTTATATAAAAATTCAATGCAAAGATTTTCAATACTTGTTTATTTTTCATGTTCATTGTACTTTCTTCAACTTATTGATAATAGAGATATTCTGCTTTCTTATTTCAGATCTCCATCTCAGCTCAGCTATGACTCTGTTCAAGAAGTCTATCCAGGTATGTGTTCTTGTTTGTATTTTTTTCAAATTCAGGCATGTCCTTAGTATAGATTAAACCTTTACTAGTACTATGACTGCATGCTATCCCAGACATAAATATTGCATGTGTGTGACTCTGGGCATTCCAGGACAAAGCAAAATCTATTTTCTTTTTATTTAATGAAAGTAGAATTGATTTTAGTACATATTAACTTAGTAGTGCACCAAACCTATCTATTACCCTCTGCTTGTCATATGATGGAATGAATACACTGATATAACAGTAGTGTGAAACCTATGTGTGAAACATATGATGGAATGAATACACTGATATAACAGTACAGTGAAACCTGTAAAGTTGGACACCTCTAGAAGTGGAACACCTCTATTAGTGGAACATTTTTCAGAGTCCCAAGACCAACTGGCTTAATGTTAAATGGACCTCTCTATAGTAGAACACCACCTAAGTGGAACACTTTTTAGAAGTACTAAATGTGTTCCACTTAGATAGGTTTTTACTTTATGCAGTGTATGAAAGGGCCTTGATTCAAACTTCACCCCCCCCCCCCCCGTCCCCCTCTCTCTCCATATCATGGTGTTATATATAGAGAGAATGATGATTTAGGGGCTAATGCGAGACTATACTTTTGCCCAAGTAATTCTTCAAATGCTATAATATGTTGCATGCATGCAATGTAATTTAGAACTGATAAGGCACTAGTGTATTGTAAAGAGAAACCCTCTCACATTCTGGCTGTTAATGTTAACATATCACAGCATTAATGTTTAATGAAAAAGTGTCCATTTGTCTTTATTATTACATGCTACTGGTTGTTTATGGCTTGATGTAATTACTTTGTGATTACAACTGCTGTTTGGTTTATGGCAAAACGGCTGTGCTCCCTATCAACATTTAACTTATTATTCTGTGCAGATTGTGTATTATGCCGATCGAATGCACCAAAAAATGCAGTCTAACCCCTTCCCTTGGTTTAGCAGGCCAAAATCTGGTATACTTGTAGAGGGTAGGAGGAGGGGGCTAACTAGGATTTGTGAATGACCAATATTGAATAATGCTTCTAAAAATAGTTTTTGGCTCAGGGAATGAACCATGAATATGCCTTACAGTAATTACAGTAAAACCTGTCAAAAAGTGGAACATATTTGGTGCCTCTATTAAGGATCGACTTGGAGGTGCTTGTGTTCCACCCATAGCAGTTCATTTTTCAAACATTGTTGGTCTTGAAAAAAGGAAAAAAAAGGATGACTTGTTCTGTCCCAGCTTCTATTTTTTTTCTTAGATGTCATTTTCTGGCTTATTAAAGTTCCTTCATAGTGTTGAGGATACAAAAAAATGAAGTTAATCCAAACTATGCAAACAAACAACTTGTAATTACTTCTCTAAATAGATTCCTCTACATTCTGATCAGACTTTTGCAAACACTTTCGCGTAATTAATACGCAAGAAAACGGAAAACATCCATCATCGAGAAAAATGTCCATGATATTTTTACACTGTTGGTATTCATGTCATGTATTAATGGTCTTTGGGTAGCGTTGGAATTTAATGTATAAATTTGATTAGATCGCCATGGTGAATAGACATATTGACACATAGGAGAGCCAATCAATATAAAGATGATAAGGACACAATACGTGGAAGTTTGTGTCGTTATTTCCCATTTACATATTGTCAAAAGCAGATGCACATGTTTAATACACTCAATGTCAAAACCTGATCATCAATGGGCCCCTCACAATTGATAGATAAGACTGCCCATACACATGATGAACAATTGTTGCAATAAGATATTTCAAGGAATGATTGAAAATCTGTTCGAAGTGATTCACGTTGATGTGAACTGACAGATTAATGCATCAGTAATTTTGATTAACTAACATTCCGACAAACAACTTCTGGAAATTACAAAAAAGGTAAATGCAAGGAGGAAAATTTGATGTTTTGTTATTAGTGATTTGAGTTAAAACAACTGACAGAGTAATGCATCGGCATTTCTAGATAATTACATCTGCAGCTCCCCTAGATTGACGTGAGTTTGTGTAATTACAATGTGCCCTAACCGTGACATCCTCGGCTGACTCACCGAGGAACTCTATTCAGAGAATCATCCCCTGTCGCTTTGTAACATCAATCTTTGTTACAACTGCATCTTATGAAAAAAATCACATTCATAAGAAATATAAGAAAATGTAAATTTGCACTTTGTTTGATAGATTAGACTGGATTTGATTAATTTTGCAATATGATCCTAGAGATTGATTAATTGAAAAAATTAATATCACCTCGTGTATCTTCTAAGTAGATATTGAGATGCTCTTACTGTTCAAGTTGCCAATTTACTATTGCATCATAAAGTCTCTAAATATTTATTAGGAGACATGAGTTTAGAATTCTTGCTCCACTCCGTCTTGATACAATCTATCAAAATTGTCCCAATCAGTTTTGAGAGATTTTATAATAAACAATTTTTAAGACACATTGTCTATGTATAGCACATGTAGATAGCTCCCCGTGCATCATTTACATAACAAGTAATAGATTATTGTCAAAGAAGCCAAAAATGAAAAGTTGAAATAAGTAATTACAGTGACTGGTATGTAATGAATGTATAATACGAGAGTGACATATATTCATTAGTTGCTTTTCTGAGAGGAATACATAATTTCCCAAGTGAGAGTTCTTGACAAGGATTGTACATCAGTGTTTTAAGACTAAAGCTGTAAATATAGTGTGTGTGTTCTTACCTGGGTCTAATTTCAAAAAATATGTATTATTTATATTCAATAATATTTGTTGAATTGCTGTTGCCTGTCTTCAGCACAAATAAATAAACAAGGCATTAACGCACAAAATATCACTACCTGCCATTTGTTACAGCCACTAACCATGATGTAACTAGCAATATCAGAAATACATTTGAATTTCATAATTTCAATTTTAAATACCCTTGTATATTGATGATGCTATCTATGATTTTATATTTCATGCAGAGATTAGAATTGCTCACTAAAGTCAGCCATTTTTGTGAGTCTTGTGAGTTTTGGATTGTAAATACAAAAGTGGCCAATTCAGCAAGATTCATTTCCTTGAACAGCCCAAGTTGAAAACTACACGATGTATGAGCAGCACTATCTTCTTAAGAATCATAGACTAACATCTACTTTGTGTATTTAGTTCTGCATGCTGCATGATCTATTCTTCTAGTGCATCCTGGGAAATGTATGCCTTCACCAGGTGGTTGTTTTGCATGCAGTGCCCTCTCAAGGGAGTTTCCTCAACTAACCCAAGAGCCTGATGATTCCATTGAAGAGTTAGAATGTAAGGAAAAGCTCATGGAATAAATATGCAGGATTCAGCATTTTCTGCAGGAACTATGACTATAAGCCTTCATGTTCAGCACATTTATATAATATTTCATTAATAAAACATAAAAGTAATAGGAGCAGTTTACGAAATCTGAATACCAGAATCAGTCAAAAGCCTGTTAATTTCATTCTAGACCAGCTGATATTTTGAGCATATGTAAAAAATGAATTCAAGCCAGTAATTCAATTTTTCCCCTATTGGTATGAAATCTTTATGGCACATCCTGCCAGAGCTCTGATAAAATACTCATTTATAAACCAATGCAAAATATATATTTATAAACATATATTTCAGATGATAGCAAACAGCAAAGGCGCTCCTCAGGGATTGGTACATTCCTTAAGAATGTTGGAATCAGGAAATCTGGCAGAAAGTATCCTTATAAAGCTCATGAAGGTATGGAATAGTTACACTGCAGTCATGCATCGAGTTATCTCAAACTACCCTTCCCATCCCCTCATTATAAATTTTTAAAAGGCTCGATTTGCGATTGGCTGAACCTTCACAGTATTTTTAGAATTAGGGACGTTTGATAAAAGTATAAAATTTATATATTTCATTCCAACTGATAGAAAGTATTTATTAAATGAGATTAAATGATTGGAATATTTTTGATTTGTTATGTTACCACCACTAGTGTTCAGCATCTGTAACAAATGGCAGGTGGTGACATTCTACATGTTAATGCCTTGTTTATTGTTGTGTTCTTCTCCAGGAGACGTACCTGCCCATCAGATGACTATGAGTGAACAGGAGAGGTTGGGATTGATGCAGCTTGTCAAACAAGGAAGGATCACGACAGAACAGGCACTGCAAACAGTAAGTTCTATTTTATAATATGCTTAGAAATGTAGGTATAACTATGTTATGTTATGTCTCCCAACTTCCATGATGGTTCTAGAGCATTTGGTTCTGATACAATTATGATGATCTACAATGGTCTCCAGTATGAATTGAATGTCCCATTGTTTTGTGTCCTGGATTGTGCTCATGGTAGGGGAATGGGGAGTAGTAGACATTGTTAGACATGCAAAATCATAGTTTGGAATATTCAGGGTTTGTTTTCCTTACGACTGGCTGTACTTTTATAGATGTTTCAATTTCTTGCTCTGTTTTGTAACACTTTTTAGTCTTTTCCCTTTACAACTTGTGCGTGACACGATTCAAGTATGAGCCTATGAAATAAATAACATAATTCCCACATACATCCTATCATTAGAACATCAAAGCAGATCCTCACATAATTTACAGCATCTTCTCAACCTTCTGGTACAGCATTGTTAATTGTATTTGTACATTATCTGATCTGTATGATAGTCTATCAATTTGTAGGCTGAATCGGATGACTCTATGCAGATGGCTTCCATAATTCGATTACAACTCTTATCATTTAGATCATACAATCCCATTTTATCTCTATTGGGAAATACATAATTTATGGATTAAGCCCAAAACACCTGTTTAAGGGTATTATGGTTATGTATTTGAAAATGTCAAAATTGTACTTATAAGGATGGAATGTGTTGAAATATATACAAGGGTGAAAATGTTACGCATTATTTGATTATTCAACATGTCAAAAAAATGTTCCTCTGACATATTTTCTAAATTGTATCTCCATCAGTAAATTCAAAACCAATAAAAAATGCATGAGTTAACTCAGAAGTTCATATAAAAGGTGTTCATTCGTGGTAAGGGGATTAATACAAAATATTGCAAAAACAAAAAATAACACTATTTTTTCATATTAAGTACATGTAATATTTTATCTTTTGAATATGAAGCAGAAAAGTGATTCTCAGAAAGAGCCTGATTTATAGATGCCAAATACACTAACATAACATCAAATACAATTGTTTGAAAACATAATTGGTATTTTACACCTTATAAAAACAAGTTTTCCTCACCTTTGAGAGAATTTAATATCTGGCATGTCAATTCAATACGTTGCCATGTCACCTATGTGTCCATTTATAGAACTGTGGCTGTCATCTAGTGGATTACCTTACTGCTATACCACAACATGTTTTTCCTAATAAACCAACATTTACTTTCTATTTGATATGGTTATATATCAGGTTAAAGCTGCATGTAGTCGACATGTCTGGGTGTTACATGAATTATGAGAGAATTGTTTTATTTTTAACTTGAGGCCTTGTCATCACTGATTCTATTCAATTTTGTTTGATTATTTTTGTAAATATTATAGAAAAATAAATAAACCATCGACATTGATCATATAATCTAATCCCGATTCTTGCAATTCAGAATGAATATACCAAATTAAGTTAAGTTCGCTAGCTTTCACTGGCATGTAGCGATTATAGCGATACTGGATACTTTACTGAATTGTGTCGAAGTTAGACGTGTGGTGCGGAAGTTAATATGCAGATGACCATCATTTCAATGTTATATTGTTTGTAGGCAAATTGAGATTAGGCCATTGGAGTATTTGTTTCACGCATACATAAAGCATAACGCATTCAAGGGTCACATTTATCATTAAACCAATAACTCAAACATATGACCTTGTACACCGACCACCTCTTGAAATCAATGCAGGCTGATTTCAACGAATGCAAACGGTGATATATAAAAGAAACATAATCAAGCATGACCACGTCCCAACTTCTTTTGTTTTCTTTACAACTAAGCTATGACTGCCGTCTATTCAGTGTTGCGTATCGAACCTTGTTTATTATAAAAATAGTGCAACAACAAGCAGAATTCACACATTTACCTTATACTTATTCTCAACTGAAGACATTGAATTTATCTCTTAGGTTTTACATTATAAATATCTTAACAAGCAGAATACGAAAATAGAGGCTTAGGCCCAACTTTGTATGGATTTTATGAGAATAATCTGATATTAGAGAAATGAAAAGAAAAATGTCCACACATTACACAAAATATATTTATGGTTCCCCGGGAATACGTATGTGTTGCTTGTATATTAGAATCGTATTCCAGTTACAGAAAGAAGTACATATCATGCTAAACTATATATATATATATTTATCGTCTATTATCCTTTGACAAGTAGAGTAGAGAATAAAAATAAAAAATTCAAAAATTCAAAAAAGGAAATCAGATTAATTTTTTAGAAAACGACTTGGTATGTGATAAAGCAGTCAGTTTGGATATGGGGTTTATCCCTCGTGAGATATAGAGGTTCTTATATGAGTACCTGTGCAAGATCGTCCATTCTTGATGAGCTTTGATAATTCTTCTTTATCGAGTCGAAGACGAGATAGAGAAACATTATCAACGCGAGTCAAGAATGGACGATCTTGCACAGGTACGAGTACAAGAAAGTTTTTCTCATATGACTCTGTATTATGCCATATTTTCACCATTTTATCATAAAACTTAGTGAAAAATAGCTTCAAATTAATTTGACTTCATCTTCAAGGAGGATTGGAAGCCAGGGTTCCAACTCGATATTCTTTAATCTCCACGCATGCGTCATTTGCTATTCGTGTCTGTATAATTTGTACGACTGCATGGAGAATGACTCGATACTCTCCAACAAAGCTATCGCTAGGTGATTGTTTTGCAGAATATCGGTGTTGCATTCTGGGAGCCAATCCTCCTTGCTTCATCTTTCAATTGTTATGACGTCATAACAATATTGAAGAAAATACATAGATACACGTGGCAACATAGCTCCATTGTTATGACGTCACAGCTTAGTTTTGTAGAATTAGCATGGATACTCATAGCAACGGTGTGTCCGTTGCCATGTTGATGATGTTTATAGACCAGTGATGTCACAAGTAAATCTCATCTTGCACGTGTGACTTTTTAGGATGAAAGATGGCAATATCTTACATGGGGTAAATATGGCTGTATCTTTGTTAGTCATATGAGAAATGCACGTCTACCTTCGGTCCCTATGGTCCATCAGGTAGATATAGAGATTATCCTATATGAGGTTCAGGATATTGGGATTACCCCGAGGCAAATATAATATATCTGTCCAAGGGCCGCAGGTCCCGAGGGAAAATATATTTTATTCCATAATACTACTGTTTTCCCAAGGAAATATGAATGAATCAAAATCGTGTTGAATCGTATTACATGAAAAAATCGTATTGTCCCCGGGAAAAAATCGTATTGGAGCGTATTACATGAAAAAATCGTTTTGGAGCGTATTGACCTATTTTTTAGTTTCCCGGTTATTTTATTTATTTATTTTATTTTTCAAACAATGTGCATTTATTAATATAACGTTTGCATTATCCAAATGTAACATTTTGAGGGATGTATTATGGAATAAATAGGTTATTTCTGGTTAGGATTGAATATGGGTTTTGTTCCTCGGAAAATATGGTATTGACCTTGGGCAATATGATATTGACACTTGGTCGCTGCGCTCCCTCAGTCAATATCATATTGTCCCTCGGAATAAAACCCATATTCAATCCCTCCCAGTAAATAACCTATATGTATTCCATACCTGATGAGGTATTCCATATCCGGCAAATATTTTTCGTATGGCCCACTCCGACGGAGCTCCAGGACATATAAATCGTATGTCCGGCTCAAAAAATTTTTTTAAAATAAATTCTGGAAAATAATTTCAAAAAAATTGTGGAAAAAAATTATGTAAATAAATTTTGAAAAAAATTATGCCAAAAAAAAGGTGAAAAAAATTTTGAAAAAAAAATTTGGAAAAAAAAATTTGGAAATAAAATTGAAAAAAAGTCCTTTCATTTTTTAAAAAATCTGAAAATAAAAATTTGAAAAGAATGTGGAAAAAAATTATGTAAAAAAATATTGAAGCTTATGTAAAATTTTTTTTTTCATTTTTGAAAAAAATCTGAAAATAAAAATTTGAAAAAATTGTGGAAAAAAATTATGTAAAAAAATTTTGAAAAAAATTTGAAAAAATATTTTGAAAATATTCTGAAAAAAAATTATGCAAAAAATGTGAAAAAAAATTTGAAAAAAAAGTTAGGACAAAAAATTAAAAAAAAATTTGGAATTTTTTTTTTAATTTGGAAAAATTTTGAATTTTTTTTGAAAATGATAACATATTTTGCAAGTAACACACCAGAGCATATGGGATACATGCTTATTATTTCAAACCTCATCGGGTATGGAATACAACAGTTATGCACGGTTGGTTTGGATACGGGAAATATCCCTCGGGATATTCCCTGTATCCAAAACATCCCAGTGCATAACCCCTATATATTGGCCAAGGGATAATCCCAATATCCTGAACCGACTATAGGATAATATGTTTATCCCATACCAATCTTGGCCATCTGTTTCACATTGTTAAATCGTGGCAATATTTTAGAATATTCATGTCCAGTTTTGTTTTCTTGGCCTTGGGCGGATTTTCATGTTCTCTCAAATATTCCCATATTTATTTTCTCGAATTTTTTATTGATTAATTAAGTGGATGCTCCTTCCCTTTTTTAACCATCAAACAGACCCCGAGTATCTGTGTTTTCTCCATTGCCGTTTACAGTCATTCCGCGAACGTTACAAATTATGAACAAATATGCGAGCGGCGATTATGACGTAGCGGGCAGATATACTATATCTGCCCGCTCGGAGCGGGACGTAAAGCTTTATCCCATGGTTGCAATGATATAGATCGAATATCATATGATGATATATTTGATATGTGGATCAAGATATCATATTTAAGCAAACAATTTACAAACCATCGAATATCACTTTTAAACTATCGAATATCACGTCTTAAAAAGTGATATTCGATGGTTTCGAATTTTTTCAAAAAATGAATTTTGAATATTTGATGACGTAAATCAAGATAATTTCTACTCGCATCTTGTCTATTCCACAGGTTTGGGAAAAGTGTTCAGGAAAATCTCCATGTTCAATTGATGTATGATCAATATACGAATCGAATGTATTCTCGTGTGCAATTGCAATATCCACATTGAAACATTTTTGGCCTGCAATGGACGTATAATGAATTAGAATATGAGGCCGTGTTATCATTCAAATGTAAAGTCATGGTGGTATTAGGTTGCAAGTTAATATCAGATTCAATGCAAATTAATCATTTAATATCAGATGCGCGATCAGTCCAATAATGTAACTTCAGGTCATCAGTTCGATATCTAGCAGTTGTTCTAACGACACGGTATTACTAGGCTATCATATTATAAATACACACACATATAAATTAATCAAACTGGTACACGATATAAGCACGACTGCTCTTTCAATTGAGTATAAATGTTGATAAACTTGCCCGGAAGCCAACACATACACGTTTAGACGATGCTATTTTCAGTTCAGTGTAAGAGTAAATGCCCGGATATCGAAGCTTTTTCGTGTAAAGTTTTAACCAAGCATGTAGAATCGGGTTATATTGCGTGTAGAATTTATCGATATCAGGGCCGCTACATGCCAGTGAGCTTTGATCAAGCCTGTTGTTTGAAGGTCAAGAAAGTTATTTCATAATGCTGCCATAAATGTATACATATGAATTATAATTGTTATTCACGTATCTTTCTGTTTTTCTCGAAACTTGTAGCTGTGTGCCTCATTTGATTTGTAATTATATCCCAGTCTTTTCCTAATTTTTTCCGGCCAGCATTTACTCTAAATGCTGAAAAATGGGCAATCAAAAATCTATTTGTCTTAGAATAATTCTGGCAATTTCATATCAAATTACTGGATTAATAAAATTATTTTCCAACGATCAATCTCGCTGCCAAGTGAAATGAATATTTATGGGAATCCCCATAATGGTTAAAATGTGACAAACATATTGCACAACAATGATCTACAGAGACAATTGCTCATATACGGCAGCCTAATTGCTCTCTCCTTATTAGAGGAAATCCTTAAGAGACAATGGAAATTAAATTACTATTTTTATCCTATGTTGTTTTAAACCCATGTCAGATTGGGAATATGCTGAGAAATTCTATGATCTGGAAACTATTGCCACATTTTCTTGTGCAGGCAAAAACATACACATGATTTCATATTATTGATGTATCAATTATTTTATAGATGGCAGTACCTTACACACACTCATAAAATGTATCACTGAACTTTTATTGAGCTGATGATTTAACCCAACAGTGTTAAAATATTTCAGCTCTGCACGAATTAGTGCAGTATGCACATATTATGTTATGGTTTAGTAAGAGAGGGAATTACCCAGGATTCAAAAATGAATCCATCTCCGTGTCAAGATGAACCTATAGGTTCAACTTTACATACAGAATGGTTCATCTGGGAATTCTGGGTTATTTCCTCCTCTTGGTATAGGTTGCACTGGTGTTGTATTAAATGACTCCCATATGACATAATGTACTTTATTTTGTAGGTGCGGCTGTATGAGGAACAACAAGGAACATTAAAGAGGCAAACCAGTGAACCATTTGAGGTAAGAATACTCTATAAATCTATCTGGGAAATCTACTTATCTATTTAACCTGAAGTTTTTAAAGATGCAAAAGCAGACGAATGCCACAATCTGGGCATGCTGGGTAAATCGCATGGTGGCCATCGTCCTCTTCTGAAATAATTATCATTGTGTACTTTGTTGTTCTTCATGATACTCAAAGTAATATAAGTGGAAGCTCAGTAGAATGTTGAGTAAAAAAGTATAGCTATTTTGTGAATCGGAAACACTTTTGAGATTAGTATGGAGTCTTGGGAAAGTTATTTGTCACATGCGTCATACATCCCCACCCCCCATGGGCATCATTATTAAACAGCTCTGTGCAGAAATTGTGCTCAAACTGTTATATGCGTATTGATTTATTTCCTTTTTGGCTTAACTGAATTTGGTGACATTTTTTGTTATAAGCTCCAACCTTTTGTGGATGCTGTTTGGTAATTGGTGTTTGGCATTCAGTGTTTGGCAATGGGTGTTCGGCATTCAGTGGTCAGTGTCTGTAAGAAATGGCAGGTGGTGACATTTTGCATGTTAATGCCTTGCTAGCTCACATGGTGAGCTATTGCAATCACTCACTTGTCCATCTGTCTGTCTGTCTGTCCATCCTCCGTCTATCCGTCCGTCTGTTTGTCAACAATTGGCCTGTTTTAAAACCTCTGTCAATAGGATTCCTGTTTTAAGTTATTTTTGTTTGTTTGTTTTGTTGAAAACCCCCCTATGGCTCCTGGTTCAAAAGCTCGCCTATTTTTTAAAATGGTCGCCATTTTTGTTTCACGAAATTCACTTTTTGCCCATTTCCTAGCTTTACAAATAATTTCAGGTGTCCTGCATTGTAAAAAGCCATGTCACTGTAAAGAGTAGTTGTATGAAATAATTTTGTTACAAAAAATCTGCAAAAATGACATCCGTTTTTGTTTTTTTTCTGCCATTTTAGCCATCATTCACTTTTGAGCAACATCATGTGAGCCCAGTACTTTTTAAATTAATTAAGGAATTATCATATACTTTGATTCAAATCAATGTTTATGTTGTATCTTAAAAAAAGGCACAATATCATTGTCAGCCTTGCAAGTAGGTGGCAGCACTTGATGGATTGATAATCTAGAATTGATAAACATTTTATCATCAAGCTGGGTTTTTTGTTTATGAGTACAGCATTGTTTACTCTGTTCCTTGTTTTTTCCTCATATTGCCTCTTATGCTGAAGAACCATGTCCCAGAATCCCAGTTGTACTGAGAGCTATATTCAGTGTGATATCGTTCACTGGAGCATGCAATCAATTATTCCTTCAATTTCACTGATATTGTATCTTGATAGAGATTGATATAATCCAATCCATAAGTTACCCTTACAGTGAATGCAATACATTTTTTTCCTTCTTGATAAAGTAACTCAAATATGAACAGTCAATGTTCTATATTTCTGACAAGTTGTTGCTTCACACCAAAGAGGATTCAATTTGTTGTCAAGTTTGAATAAGATTTTGTAACAATTGAGTTATACTTTTGTAACCATTTGTAATAACTTAATAAAAAGTGACATGAAACTTGAACTATGAAGATAGAAAGACATGCCAAATTTTCAACATATTTTGGTGATATTATGCTACCATGGTAACAAACTATTTTCTATGTTATAGATTTGTTACTATAACACAAGATAAAAGGGCTACATACAATGGTACCATGTAGAAACAGGTCGTGACATTTTATCATGTTGGGTCTCTTGCTTTTTTTTATATGACAGCACATTCCTGTTCAGAGCCAGTCTATAATCATTTGGTCTAAACAATAAGTACATGTAATATTATGATATCCCAAAACCTTTCCAATGGTATATGAAATGTTAAGTTTTATTCAGTCTATTTGACTCTGTATGTTTTTAGAACAATAACATTTATTGGGCCACTCTGTTTGTATTCAATAATACCCAATCAATTCATGCTATTCCTTTGTAATTCTACTAAATACCTCCAGGGTAATTTTAAGAGGAATTTTTTCCAATTGTACCATTACATATTAAAGCTTTAGTTCTGATATATTGACGTGTATAATTAAACCAATATCGTACACCAGTAGACCTTATCACGGTTTATTGACAGACCCGCCAAAATATTCCACAGCTTACTTGGAATTGAAATAGATGGTTTCTAAAAATGATCAGACTTCCTCATATTATAGAATTTGGCATATTTGATGCTTAATGATGTTTACTTTGAGTAAAAATCACAAAAGCGACAAAATGAAAAATTGATTAATCTTTCATGTTAGGGTCCCCTCAGGCTCTATGAGTTCCATTATTAACTCAAATCCAGATACCAGATTGTGTTATTACTCCCAGTTTTATGGATTGATATGCCTCGATAACTAAAGTGAGAAAGGATTATATGCACGTTATATAATATTTAGCTCTGCTGTAACTCTATAATAAAGACTTCCAAATGTTCTACTATTAAATGTAGCATTGCAGGTGTTATGCCACATTGGAAAGGAGGTAGAACTGTAAACATCAAGATTATATTTTGAACGGAAGAAAATTGATGCAATTAAATCATGCATCCTAAAAATCATTTTATACATGGATACTGATAGAACTGCTTCAGATTCACAAAACTAAACCAGGAAAAGGTTTGCATCATTTTTCACTCGTAAACAAATGGTATATTTGTGTATTTCTAGAGAAACGGTGATCTAAGACGCAGTGCAAGTTCATCCAACGCAAGTGGGAGCCCCAAGTCGCCTCTAGGGTTTCTAAGGTTTGGCTCTGGTCGCAGGCAGAAGAGAGGATCAGAGCCAAAGTCACCCAAGCAACTTCAGAAAGGTAGGAAATATTAAGACTAAGGTTGGGGCTTGTATGTTACCACAACAAGTGATGACATATTGTAATGGTCTCCATTTTTTGTGATGCCATCCAGCTTTAGGTGTTCAGTTTTTGGCATCTTATGACAGGTTCTGACTTTTGCATGTAATGCCTTGTATGTTATTGAAAGAGGTAGGAAAATAGTAGGAATAGGCTTGGGGTTATTCATATGACAAACCAACAGTGAACAATGTTTGAATGAACTATCTTGTTTTATGGAACATTCGGGTTATCATGCCATATTAAGCACATTTTAGTGCCTAAGTTACAAAAAAAGTTCTTATTTTACAAATCATTATTGCTTTTGTTATGAGCAATTTTTTTCATAACTGACATTCATATTCACAAGCAGAAAATACTAATAGCTCAGAATTATATCTTAACTATGAATTTAATCTAAACTCAGAATTCTATCATAACTATGAATTATATCTTATCTCAGAATTATATCAAAACTCAAAATTATACTTTAACTCAGAACTATATCTTAACTCAGAATTATATCTTAACTCAGAATTAAATCTTAACTCAGAATGATATCAATCAGTAGTGAAGATGGAGATGCAATTATCTGATAAGCCATTTACTGTTACATCATCATCTTCTTACCTAATACTTCAGAGGATTCTCATTGTGTTAGCTACTCTTACTATTAAGCTCCTAATAGCCACAGCTAGAGCGTGATAAGCTTGACTGGTGATTGGACAACTTAATTACATTTCCGGTCTCTTGGTATTATTGGCTAGTGAATGGTCTTGGAATATATTAGATATAGAGTCTCACTATGTATTAAGCCAGGATTGTTCAGTTCATGGAATAAGTATGTTACATTCAGTGAATATAGTATTTGTGATTTATTTGTGACTCATATTGAAAGATGTTTGTATCTGTCTCAAAGAATATGGCACAAATTCCCCATGAAATTTAAACTTTGCAAGCTTGTTTTTACATGTCAAATGTTGTAAATGTAGGGAACTGCTTGTATTTTGAAGATGTCACGTGGAGATTGTGTAATATCAGAAAAGTGCAATTCTACATTCTTCTAATTGATCATTATGGTATTATGTTATCCTCTGCTTCTAAATCACAAAACTGTATAGAGATTAGAGAAGAAACTCAGAAATAATCTGTTCCTAAAACTTATCATTACCTCATTAGATTGCAATTTTCCCAGGATATATGATTTCCAATATTTAATTCATTGATAATTTTTATCATTAGTTATTTCAAATCAGGATTACTTAAAGTGATGTCTGATAAGCATGAAAATAATATGATGCATATGGTGCTTAATTTCTAAATCACTCTCCCATCAGAGGTGTAGCAATTGTAAGCTACAGGGTTAAATCATAAGGTTCAGCTATCACAAGTTACTACAACTGTAAGTTACAGCAATCACAAGTTACAGCAATCACAAGTTACAGCAATTACAAGTTACAGCAGTCATAAGTTACAGCAAGCACAAGTAACAACAATTACAAGTTACAGCAATCACAAGTTACAGCAATTACAAGTTACAACAGTCATAAGTTACAGCAATCACAAGTTACAGCAATATTAGTTACAGTAATAATAAGTTACAACAATCATTAGTTACAATAATCACAAGTTACAGTAATAATAAGTAACAATCTTTCTTGGTGCGAGTCGTCTTAGACCAATTTGGCTGACAGCTTCAAAGAAATGCTCAATTTGAGGGAATGATGCATTAATTTCCATGTAGCAATTACCTAATTGGTTATGTTTTTGAGGATGTGCTACAGACGGAGTTGAGACAGGATGTAGCCTTGATTGGAAGGCAATCAATTATTTAATTGTGAATTGTAAATTGTATGCACTTCCCTTAATTCTGCTTGCTGTGAGGATGCTTCTAACATTATATGTAATTACCAAGGACAGAATTCTAAGTGCTTTATTAGGAAATGATGGCAATTTTCTGTATTACAAAATGCTGTTACAATACTTTAATGAAACTACACTATTTCCGTAGCAAATATTCATCGATGGAGGGAAGTGATGTAAATGATTGGAAAGTAACAACTTGACTGTATTGGAATTTAAGGAATTTTTTTTGATTAAGCTATTCTATACAAAAACAGGAGTAACAGTTCCAAATTGTAAATTTTTAATTGTATCAACCTTTTTATATTTGCAGGTAATCAAGCAAGGCAGGGGTGTAAGATTACAAGTCCAGATTACTTTGAACCCCCTGTAGATTGCATCTCCCCTGAGCAGGACTCCCTGGTTGGCTTCTATCAGGACTTCACCCACGTCTACCCTCGCCCCACCCCTTCAAACATTCCCACCTCACAGACACTTGACAATGGCGACTTTTTCATGACGTCAGTCCCCCGTGAGAATTATTCCCCTTTAGGTTTCTCAACTCCGCAAAGCCCCCGGAGATTTTTTTACGTCGACTCTCCGAAGGCTTATCATCGTACGAGCTCTTCCCCCTCGCAGAAAAGTACTCCAAGTCCAAGTAGTTCAGTACACTCAGAGGGGAGAAGCGTCACAGTTAGAGCAGTCATAGAATCACCACAATCTCAAAGAAGTGTCACATTTGAAACAAATGTACGTTCATCCAGTCAAAGCTCAACATCTGCGAGCGAACATGAACAGTTAAGACTTGAACCTGAACAGCCCAGGTCAGATTGCTCAAGCAGTGACCATAGTCAACATAGCTTCACAAAAATAGACTCAACATATTTAAAAAATCACACAAACAATCACAATTCAAGGGGTCTTCTACAAGGACCTCTTAGCCTCACCAGGTGCCCTTACTCAAGCCAAGATTCAACTTTGGTTCGACAAGTGCGTAGTTTGTCAGAGCCAAGGTTTGGACGACGCGACCATTTAAGTGATATATTTGGAGATCTTGACGACTCAGGGGATTACTGTGAAGTTGACCCGGATGAGATGGATCAGAAAAAGGGAGTCCTGCGTAAACTCACCAGGAGGTTCTCGGTAAGCAAAACAGATAGGGCCTGTAACATGAAAATGTTTGACTCAAGGCTTGAAATTTTGCTGTGTGATATAATGAGACTTTTTTCTTATTTTGAATAACTAAATTATTAGTTTCGTACACTTATTATACCAGAAATTTAATGGAAAATTAAATTTTACATCACAAAGTACAGTATGAGAAGGGAATCTGCCATATTTAGAATGCATTCTTCTTACTGTTATACATTCATATAGAGCTGTTATGCATTTATATGGAGCTGTTTTACAACAATATACAACTTTTATACAACAATATTCCATTTTGCAGTTACAGAGAAGCTACAGCACTGACGAGACATCAGACGGTGATGATGTCACAGGGAGTGATTCTGTAAGTAAACACATTTTGTTCAAAATCCCTCAATTTGGTTACACTAAAATCAGTTTCTAGATATGATTTACTAACATGATATTTTACATAGCATGTATAGACTAATTTTTCCGAAAGCAAACTCAGATCACATATAACTTAATGCTGATTAACTTTACATGTTTTCTGTGCCACATAAATATCGCTAGAAACATAATACTGTCAGTTATACCATCCGCAATTTCCTGTGATTTCTCCAGCATTAAAGCAATTGGGTGGTGCAGTCTGATGAAAATCTAATAATTACATACCATCCTGTAGAAAAACTGTTAGCATGATAAATTTCTGAAACTTTGTTGTGTCTCACAGAAACTGAATTCCCTCAACCGTGGGGACAATGGCCGAAGCAGCTTCTCTGAAAGAATGAAAGGAATAAGAAAAGATGTCCGCCGTAAAATGCAACGACTCAAAGTATCAAAGTCTCTTGGTCCAGATATGTTCGATATTTCCTCACTAGATGACACCACCACCACTGATTCTACACTTGGAAAACCCACAGAGACATCTATTATCACAGGTGAGTGTTTTTTCCAAGTTCTCAATTAATTTTGGATAAATAATCAATACTTCGCAAAACAAACTTAGATTATTAAGACTTTCAACCAAATAGTGAACATAGATGTGATAAGAATAGAATTTTGGATGACTGATACCTCTTAGGTCAAAACAGGTTAAATTGTCTGAAAACTACATATTAACATTGTAAATTCTGTCTATCAAATAAAAAACAACTATGGAAATTTAAGGCAATACATGAGGAAAGCAAATTGCAAAATTAAATCATCTGAAAGTCACAAATGAATCTAAAATATGTTTTACTCCTTGTTATTTTCATGTTTTATATTGTGAATGTTTAACAGGAGTTAGTCCAACAAGCAGCACTGGAAGCGATGATATCCCAGTGTACACTGGTCCTTTTGTGGCAAGAGCAAGAGTTCACACTGATTATGTGCCTAGTCCTTATGATAAAGAGGCACTAACCCTAAAGGTAAAGAATATGACATGTCTTATGCAGTTAATCTCATGGGCAATCTCAACATTCAAACACATCCTGGCAATATTTTCTGGGCTTGTCTTTACCAAATGAAATTATGTTTGCACAAGAATATCTGCAAAATTGCTTCAGAGAAGGAAAATACAAAGTCAACAGATGATGTATATCAGTATTGTCATATCAGTACTTTAGTACACTGTACTACTATATATTATCCCATACGAATAGGCAATTGCTAAGGAGATAGCACAGAAATGTGCTTTAATATTGCTTCCGCTTATGCTGATGTCAGATTGGATAACATCAGGATATTTCCGATATCTGAACCTCATATACGTAACATCTTTTTAAATTATGTTTCCAGCGTGGAGATGTGATCAACATTATTAGCATGTCTCCAACTGGTACATGGAAGGGTGTCTGTGGAAACAAGATGGGCCATTTCAAGTTTATTAATGTTGACCTGTTGCCTAATCACACCCCTAGACACATACGCAGGCAGCGTCAGAGAAAAAGTAGTCCTGCCAAGGCATCAAAGCGTATAAAACCTAAAACTGTGGATGATCTTCTACAGAGACTGGGCTTAGAGGTATAGTGAAGAAATATTAGCTCTCTAAATCTTGCTTACATACGAGCTATATGCCTCAATAAGTAATTGCAAACTTCAGTGGTATGTGATTCTGTGCCACCATATTGTACTTTTCCATGCTGTAAAATGGTGTATCATATCTTGTATCATGTTTTATTACTAAATAAATATATGTTTTGTAGTGAAGTGAACTTTATTGATACTTTATACTGTATAAGTGGTAATTTTGCCTAATCATTTAATGTGTCTATTGCCTAATTTTGCCAGGTTTGGAAAATTAAATGTCAGAAATATATATTATCTTCATAATGCTATCCAACAGGAAGTTTCTTCCCATTAGGAAAATTAAAATTAGGAAAGTGGTTAAGTTTGACCATTCAGCAAATTAACCATTGGATTAAATACTACTTATACAGTATTCTCAAAACTTGTGTTATTGAAAGACACATTTTACATTGTAGCACTTGAGGGGGGTGTTCCTATTGAATGGCTATGAGACACTGGAGGACTTCACTGATATAGAAGAGGCAGACCTGCAAGAGTTGGGCATTGTCAATGCAGAGAGCAGGGCAAAGTTACTTACTGCAGCTGAGCTCCTTACTGACTGTGACAGTAAGTGTAACATATAGAAATCTAGGAATTAATTTTACTATAGTATATATGCATGTTCATAGTGTTTATTATGTTATGTGAAAATTATGGGCAGTTATACACCTGTCAGGGTGTCATAGCCTGTATACATGTTTCATTTATGCAATGAAAAATGAAATAAAATTATTTTAGAATTGAAATTGAAATTGAAAATTGCTTGCAGGGTGTCTTATGATTTTCAGATTTACTGGTCAAAATTGAATGATTAAATAGAAATGATCTAAAAGTTATTTTTAGTGTGTGTTGAGTGTGTTTTAGGGGAAGCTTATTTTTGAATGAAGCCAACCACATTTTGTAAATTCAACGGACATTTGGCTAGGTGAATTGAATATCGCCTTTTTTCTGGGGTAAGCTTGGAATATAATTTTTTGATAATGAACATGTACATGTGTATCATTCCAGGTTTAGATTCAGCTGAGTTGGTGGCAGGAACAGTTGAACATGACACTTTACCTACCATGTTACCAATAGCAACCATAGACCAACCAAAATCCTCCCCAGGTCAGACTCGTAAACATCGAGATTCAGGGTGCTATGCAAGCTCAGAGACTCTTAAAGACAATAGCAAATCAAAGGTTGACCTTCAAAAACAATGTAATAAACAAAATGGTGGAGACCCCAATAACGACAGTATTAACGGACATGATCTCTCTAGTGATAGTGTAAAGGAGGACTCGGAATATGTGGAAAGGTCTAGAGGTGAACGTATTAATGAAGAAAGTGATATTAAGTCTAGTCAAGATGAAAACATTGTAGGACACAGTCAAGTCAATGGATATTCTGAATCAACCAGAAATGTTATTAACATCCATACAAATGGTGATATAAATGAGTCAAGTAGTGAAAATGTTGTTGAATCTGACAATGCGACATGCAATGGGATTGCAAACTTGGACCCTGCTAGTACAGCACCATGTAATAGTCATAGGGATGCTACAGTTCATATTGAAACAGAGTCTCTGGAGTGCAATAGAGAATCTGGTGCACATTCCACACAGGGTTCACAAACTGAGAGTTCAGACAGTGCACTTAGTGATGCTTCAGACCTTCCCCCTCTAGTCCCTAATAGATTGAACCCTGTATGTACAGTGGAATCTAGTACTACATCACCAGTCAGGGAACCAATCAAACGACAGCCTCCTCCTGTGCCGAAAAGAACCAATAAGGGTAAATTATACACTGCAGGGTCTTCACATTCTAATACAGGGTCTACAGCTAAAGCTCAACCGACACCACCTATATGTGGATCACCAAAGCTCTCCCAGGAATCCCTTGTGGTTGGTGACAGTGAACGACGCACTGAGATCCTCTTACAAACAACAGCTAATCTCATCGAACAATCGCAAGCATTTATAGCATCAGTGCATACAAAAGCACAACTTACGAAGGACATAGGAGCTAAATTCACTCCAAGAAAGGATACATCCACACAGAGCGAGGGACCAATAGGAAGTAGCAAACATAAGCACCTACATCAGGGTCTAGTCCCAAGGCTACATCCAGTCACCACATGCAGTAAGGCTGCGACTATAGTCCACAGAGAGAAGCAATCGACACCTCCTAGTAAAAGGCAGCCTCAGCTAGGGACAAGAAGGCGCCCCCGCCCCCTCTCTGTCTCACTGGAGGGTGTTGTTGCTGCTAAACTGGAGGATGAAATGATAGACCTCACCAAGACTCCATATACCGATGAGGTTAGTGTAGATCTAAAATGTATTTCCAATAAATGTGTCATTAAAAGTTGCTATTCTCAGAGACTCAAGTAAACACCGGTGAGATGAGTGAAAAAAACAATGATATGAAATTAAACCTTCAAAAGTATGGATAATGTCTTCATACCAAAAGTTGCACAAACAATTTATTTAACAATGAGTTATTTATAGAAATGGCAGAAAAAATAGAAAAAGAAAATAATAAGTATTTCATGTATTTCAGAGTGGATTTTGTGGTATTCCACCAGCGTTGGTACAGAGATACGCTGAGGAGATAAAGAGAGACATTATAGATGTCGCCCTAGCTCTAGATGAAACCAGACTACAACAGCTCCACCTAAAGGGCAGAATTGGAGTAAGTTCCCTTATGTGTAGCTCATTTGTATTTATTTAATCGTTAACAGATGCAATGATCATGCCTGCATTGACTTTAAGTGCTGCATTATCAGAATCTTAACATGTAAAGTGAAAAACTATCTTCTGCTAGTGACATGACATTACATTATTATTTCCACGGTTACAACTCAGAATCTTAACATTATAGCTGCTTCTAGTAGTGGCCATATTACAAATGCTAAATACAGTGCAATGTGGAAGCCTAAAATGATGTATCAAAGAACGTAATCGTAAATATTCCTAATGTTTACAATTTCAGGTGCCTAATGATTTTCTGGCTGATAGTTGTAATAGTTCAGATATAGAGGTCAGCACTGTCTCTATCCACGACTTCCTGACCTCTATAGGGCTCCCCATGTATCTAGAGCTACTTGTTCGCAACAATTATATGACACTTTCGGGCGTACTTAGTATGACAGAGGAGAACTTCAGGAATTGTGGGGTAAATGACCCAAGACATTTACGACGTTTGTTAAATGCGGTGGACCTGGTACAACATCACAGAGCTGTTCATAACGGAGATCTAGCAAGCTTACCTCCCAGGGGCCATAAAAAGTCAATGGTCTTAGACAGGGTTTAACAATAACTACATATTAAGTGTTTTATATCAAGAATTCATTGATGACACATATTTACTTGTTGCTCCATGTTCATCATTCAGTCCATTATATTGTTCATTGTCCAATGCATTTTGTTGTTTTGTGATATATTTACAGGGTGAGCCAAAGAAGGTAATTTTGGCTCACCCTGTACAATTTTGTGAAAACATTTGTGAAACAATGTACATTGTAAATTGTTCATATCCCAAATGAGTTGAAATAATTGGGTTGAATAACAATTAAAAAGAATGACAGGTACATGTGCCCTTTTCAAGACCTTGATTTGCATCTCACTACAAGCCTCTTCAGGGTAATATATATGTAGAGCTTATATGTACTTTCAGCTCTCTTATGTTTTGAATTTCATTGTTCATTTAATGTTCTGATCGGTCAATTGCAAACAATGAGGTTAACAATTTCATTCTATTCTCCTCCTCCTTGTGACCTAAGCCATATACATATTTTGCTTATTTAGAGTATTGCATTTGCTTACTAGGACATTCCGTTTAATATTACTGTTATTTATATATTTGTACAGGGGAAAGGGGTGTGAGGGAAACACCCCCCCTCCTCTATAATAATTTGAATTTGCAATTTGAATTCTTAAGAAATATGACAAAATTTGATTTATATTATTTACTTTCACTGATTGCTGTGTTGCCAAGCAGTACATACTCAGTAGAATGTGTACAGAGTGACCCAAAAATATGTAAACCTTTGATCACAAAGACATTGCTAGAATTCATGTGAATATTCTATACACTACACACGAAAATTGGAGGAAATTCCAAAATAAGAGGTGCATATTTTGGGCCACCTTGTATTATAGAACTATCAGATGTGATTTTTACATTAAACTGGTGCCTTTGTTCATATAGGGTAAATAAACTTTTGAGATTTACATATACCGTGAAGTTTAAATGTGTGTTACATTAAAACTTGTGCTGAGGTACATCCTTCATTCTTATCAAACTTCAACCTTTTTTGAAGATGTAAATCTATATTTGGTTGAAGATGTGTAATTGTTCATGGTGCATTTATCTGTTAAGGTTGGTTTATTCTACCGTTTCTAAGAATGTTCCATGTGTTAATGTTAATGTTTTATGTATTTACTATTAAGTACAGAATGTATCGATGAAAATTCTCTTACTTTCTGATGTTTGTATATTTTTCTTATTATATCACTACATCGTAATCCTGGCTCTGACCTTGGGTTCAATCAGACAGGTACCTGTTACACAGTCAGGTAAAAGCTTTGTACCGAAGGATTTCATGCTTAGTGTGTGACATCTCAAAAATCCTTTGTAATGAAGCTTTTTTGTCAAAATGCTTTGTAATGAAGCTATTAAACCTGCTGTGTAACCCTTGCCAGAAACTAGAATGCAATATAAAAAAGTTCATTTTCTCAGTACTTATTGAACACTCTGTTTGTAGTATTATTTATTTCTTAGTACTTATTCAACACTCTATAGTCTATATGTAAAATTAGATGTTTGTTATTCATGGCATAATAAAAGAATAAGTTTCTTATGGATACGTTGCAATATCAAATGCAAAATTAAAACCTTTTCATGTAATATCACAGAACGTTTGTATCAATTACTTTCAAGGTGTAGCTTTACATTGATGTATTTGTACAATATCTAATATTGTATCGGTATATCATTTTATTAATCTGATGAAATTAGTCTATTGTATTTGTTGATATTCATTCTGTATTATTTCAATAGTCAGGTTTTGTCCGCTTTAAACTGGTATACAACATATACATATTTTATCAATGGAAAGCAGATGGTGCATATCAAATTCATTATTCATTACCAAGCATTATTATATATCAGCTTTCTAATAGCATTTTATATACCAGCTGAAAGGAAATGCACAATCAATATACATTCAAACATTGCTTTAAAATGGTATATCACACTTCATATCAATGTTATTTTACAATTATCGATTAGCATATGAACATGAAGTGAGCCTTAATATTTTGTATTTTCTCTTGGAGAAAGAATTGAATGAATTTTTATTTTAATGGAAAACAAATACATGTGTTATTCAAAGTATCTGGATGCTTTCACAATGTCGTCCTCTTTGGCTATCTTAAACTATTGACGTACATTTAAAGTTATTACCGTGAATTTCATTTCAAAAATCTCCATATTGAATTTTCTTCCTTCATAAAAAGAAAAAACTTACTGATAGACTATTATCACAACATGCTATTATGCTATATATTCGTGAGTTACCAAGGAGATTGACAAAGCTTTCTGGATACTTTAATAAAATTGTGTAGGTTATTGGAGATTTGTTTCAACTGTTGTAAAAATGATGTTTGTATATTTCGTACCAAGTACGTTTTAATTTAACATGTTGAGAACGATCATGAATAAAAGTATTTATTTGTTCATTTATAAATGCGACTTGTTATTATTTGTTTGTGCAATGATTTAAAGATGTCTCCCCAATCTGAATAATAAACCCATTGTGTCGTCCATCTGTCATACAGAAAATAGGCAATACAATTATCTAAAATTTGTAGTAATGTTACTCTATAATCTGTAGCAAATTCACCCCAAAACAAGTAAATATCTTGAAATAAAGCATGTGTAACTTTACTTTCTGGACACCCTGTAAAATTGACCGGAATACATATCGGGCATTTACAAGACTGTCAATCTGGGTCTTTTGCAAGTTTCTTATAGGGCCAGAAGTGCAAGTGCAAAGATTGATTAGATAAAATGGTATACGTAGAGAATCACTGGTCCCCTCCGCAGAAGAAAAACGTTATTATTCAATGCTTTATTGTACTAAAAATCCCTTTCGGGTGAGTGTACAGCAAATAAACATGATAAAATAAAAATAAAACTATACATACAATTACAATAACATACAATGCAAATTTTACATGGCATATAATGACAATATAATGTGATTGACTGATCATTAGATGTATACCAACAACTACTATTAGCCTACATGTATATATTTACAGGATGGGCCAAAAAAAACCACCCCCCTAGCCGTTACTCCTGATTAATATTTATTTTCTAACATGTACACCAACAATGATATATCATTTTAAAGATAATTTAATTTGCAACAAAATGATATGTAATAGAACAATTTTCAACAACCCTGGCTCGAGATATAACCATTTATGTGACTTGGGGGCCAAAAAACACCTTTTCAATTTTCATCGATTTTGCGAACAATAGCCTGTTTCTACCAAAATTTACTGTTCAGTTAAAAATTGCAACATTGTCATGAGTCTTTCATAATTGGATATTATATATTGTTTTCATTCAGGTTTTGAACCATTCATGCTCAATAAACATGTGTATGCTTATAAAACAAATTAATTTCTTCTTAAATCTGTCCATATATGGCTCAATAGACCCACCCCCTGGACAAATCCTCTGATTGGATTATTCGCTAAAGACGCGAAAGCCATTCGTATAATTGATGGATCTCTGTGGAAGTACCATCGAACTCGTAATTATTCATTCTTTCAGTTTGTCTACATCCTGATAGGCTAGTGATCTTCATAGACCAACTGTTCTAAATGCCCCAAGCACTATACATGTAATCAACAGGATAGACTCTATATATCAGTAAGCAAGAATAGGGACATTTGCGATAAAAGGCTACTCAAATCGAGATGACATTTTTCTGAAAGGGTAGTGGTGTCCACTCGGTGTTTCCCAAAAAGGAAAGACCGTACAGGCCCTGTTTTTGTTGAACCAGGAACAAAAATATACTCTGAATGTTGATGACATGAGGTGTTAAAAAGGACTCCTCAAGGATATAAAAACATGTGATAGAAATTTAATTTCTGATAGGAAAGTGCTTCATCACACAGGTTCAATGCTACCCTGGAGTTTTTGGAGATTCGAAATTAAACCATCTCTAGCCCGGACAAATGGCTAACTGGCAGTCCAGATGCCAATAATGTTGATTACCACACCTGGGGGTATCTAGAACAGTTGGTATTTAAAGATACCCAGCCTATCAGGGATGTAGAGGAACTAAAAGAAAGAATAACTAGCAGTTGAATGGTACTTCCGCATACATCCATCAATTATGCCATCAACTAATGGCTTCCGCGTCTTAAGCGAATAATCTGATCAGAGGATGGATGCGGGGGTGGGTATATTGGGCCATATTTGAACAGACTGAAGAAGAAATTAATTTGTTTTATAAGCATACACATGTTTATTGAGCATACATGGTTCAAAAACTGAATGAAAACAATATTTAATATCCAATTATGAAAGACTCATGACAATGTTGCAATTTTTAACTGAACAGTAAAATTTGGTAGAAATAGGCTTTTGTTCGCAAAATGGATGAAAATTGAAAAGGTGTTTTTTGACCCCCATGTCACTTAATTGGTTATATTTCTATATGGGGTTGTTGAATATAGTGCTTTTATATATCATTTTGTTGCAAATTAAATTATCTTTAAAATGATATATCATTGTTGGTGTACATGTTAAAAAATAAATATTTATCAGGAGTAATGGCTAGGGGGGTGGTTTTTTTTGGCCCACCCTGTATATTGATAATATAGTTGATCTCTTTTCAATTATTTCATAAAGGTATTTTGCAAAGGTGATACACATGTTACCCTCAGCATTAAACATATTCCTTTTCTTCGGTAGTCAATACAGTTAGATTTGGGCAAATCGAGTTAAAGGTATCAAAGTATTCATATCTCAATTTTTCCAATTTTTGACACTCAAAAATAAAATGAGTTTCCGTACCAGTGTTGATTTTACATAATTTGCATTTTCTTTGATCTCTCGGAATTATTGGTCTTATATATCTTCCTCGCTCTATTAAGAGCATGGCATGGGGTTCAGCTACTACAAAATAGTACTATATACAAGCTTTGTAAACTGCAGCTACGACCAGGTATCAACACGCTTGGCAAAATGCAGCTTAACCTCTTATCGTTTTCCATTTATTTGGAAATTCCTCCACTTGATATGAGTGGGTGCTTGGATAGTATAGTAACTCATTTACTAACTTTTAAATAAATATTAAACTAAAGGGCCCATTAGAAAATACTCAGGTTTAGAAAGCTTTGTTGACACCTTTATGAGGTAAATGTCTACATAAATCAAAATAAAATAAACCTAGTTTTATATTGTGATCTAAATATAGGTGGTTTTGAATTAAATCAAATGGGTGTGAATTAAAGAAAATAATTGGAAATTAGAGTTAGATGTTGCAATATGGATGCTTACCGACCATACAGGTAGGTCTACCATTTGTAAATGTATAAGGGTCATCTGAACACAAGCTGAGACTTACACACCTCGAATGAAACATGTTAGTCCCAGACACAACGGACCATTTTTATTCCCGATTGTAAACGGTGATTGCATTTTCAGATTTTCTAGCGCAAGTTCAGCGTCCCCAGAAGACTTGTTAGAAAATCCTCATAAAGAAATTGAGCTAGAAGAACCAACTGGGACGGCTCAACAACTAGGATTTGGAAATGGTATTAACACTGCACCAAACCACACTGATGTAAATCTCGGTGACCTTCACAGGACTAAAGACCAAACTTATCTCAACAATAGCGATGGTGATGACTTAGATGATGATAGGTCGGCAAGTGATAATCATGATACACCGGGAAATTCCTCAGGAAGTTACGATGCTACGCATGGAGTTGTTGACGATACTGACTATGGCCCACATGTTGCTGTACTTACTGTTGGTGACGCCACAGATCCCTATTCTGATCAACATGCTCCGACTGATCAGGATACATCTTCTCGAAATTTACAAGATATGTGGTCACCTGGTCACCAGGAAGGACACGCCAAGATTGTATACGCCGATGCCTCTACTTTCGACGGATCTGAGATGTCAACAGGGTTTTTAAGGTTAACAAGGAGATCTAAAGAAAATGTCATCTTGGCTGATATAGGTACCTCAACAACTGATCATGATGAGGTTGGTCGTTTTTTGAGATTTTAATTGTATTGAATCTATCTATTTGATAAATTCATTTTACCTTTTTGTGTTTGATAACTATTCAACTGAAAATATATCCAGTAAAGAAAATCATCATCTGTCCAAAACAAGAAAAGATATTAAATGTTCAAAGTTGATAAATAATTTTAGAACCATATATCTAGATGTAATATTTATGTAGATTTCAAGATATCGCTTTGCCTAAATTTTGAATATTTAATGACGAAAATCAAGACTATTTCTCCGTCTACATCTGCATCTCGCCTATTGTGACAAAACAGCAAGAAAAGACCACATTTTAGTAAGTGTTACATTAACAACTCAAGAAAGAGAATTATTTGGAAAAGATCAGGTTTGAAATGGCAAATGATCTAGACAGCAGTATCTTTATTCTAACGATAAATACAATTGTGTTTTCTTACATTTGTCCGAAAATCATAATACGACCTTATGAACTACTGCACTTCATTCCTATATTTAAGAAACTCATTTTAAATCTAAAATCGGCCAAACCCTAGAAATGCAGAGCCTGTTATCTAATACAGGGGCGGATCTGGGAACCAACAAAGGGGGAGGGGCAAATTCAAGTCAGAGAAAAGAACTTCCGCGGAAAAAAATTTGGGCCCCTAAAGCCCAAAAGTGGGACCAATTTTTGAAATTTTGAGGCCCATTTTCTTCAAAATTTGGCCTGAAATTAAAAGATAAGGCCTTAAAGGCCCAGTAATGACCAGAAAGGCCCACTTTTTGGGGCCTTAAGGCTTTAAATGTTTTTTTTGTGCCAAATTCTTTTTTTCTGGGTCCACCCAAGGGGGGGGGGGCAGCCCCCCAGATCCGCCAGTGTAATATATAATACAAAATGTTCAGATGCTGTCTTTCATAAGCTGGGTGGATATAATTTTAACATGTGAGATGTAAATAAATATTAAGTATACGTGCATAGGCTACACATGGGCACAGGACTTAATAACAAATGAAACCTTGACTAGTGTATGTAGTATAGATCTACAATAATGTAAATAATCGAAAAATACGTTTTTTTGTATTTACGTTCCCATGATAAACATTTGATAAAATAGTAACCATAAATATGTCCGTTATGAAAACAAAACAATATATTGATGTTTTGGGTATTTACATTTTCAATGATAAATATTTACAAATAATCATTTACAGGTCCATGATGAAAACAATATGTTGACGTCATTTGGTCCGCCTGAAACTGTCCAACCAGCTGTGCCTATACCTAGTCATGTGACTCAAAGCCATGGTGACCATGATCACGTGAAACAACGTAACGTTGACTTAAATGACGTGAGCTTAAGATTGCAGCATAGAAGTAAAACCGACACAGTGTTGTCAAAACCATCTTCGCCGAAACTAAATTGGAGATTTTGTTTTACTTTAACAACATTAATATTTGTAGTCATGTTGGTGCTACTGGCGCTATTGTTCTGTAAGTACATGTTCAATTTGACATCATGTTCATATTAACGTTTCTGAGCGTCTTGGAATTAAGGATATGGAAAAGCGGAAAATGCAAGTGACTGCAAATAAACGCTTGTTCTAAAATAAAGAAATAAGCAGTTTCACTAGATGATATATTTTTATTTTTTCAGTAATGTTCACCAGGGCATCAAGTAAGTAAATATTTTCTCACTTCGCATGTTTTATGTGTTTCAATGAAATCGTATTCTATTCATGAACTCAACTTTACGTTTTCCATAGTATTAAATCTCAGAAGAACAATTTTGGACAGTGCGAGGAGTGATCGATAAGTAACGAACACATTTTGCACGTCTTTGTGAAACAACTATGCAACTGCTCTAGCTTGTCTGTTCGATATATGTTTCATTCTTGGCTAAAAAGAATGAGAACTTGTGAATCCCGAAGTGGTAACAATGTGAAATTCATATCATGGTAGTGCTAACAATATGTTTACCACCAATTTTGTCATATCGAATATGGCAAAAATGTCCCGTACCAATACATTCTTTACGGAAACTAGGATAAATAAAAAATTAGTAGTCTATACACATTCTTGGTCCAAATAATCAGGATTGATAGATAATTGAATGATGCATCACTCGTGATCATATCAACGAGATAAGTCTAATCAAAATTGTCTGTGTTAAAAAGCGTTCGTTATTTATTGACCACCCCTTTTATCATTTTCATCTTATAGCCTAAAGCATTCCAAATAATAAAGAAAACTAATCTCTCCAGTAAATTTCGCAAGTGTTCATATTAAATAAAATACAACAAATAGTTTAAAAGTTAATTCAGAGAGTTTAAGTAAACGACAGCCTGTAGACTTTGGCTAACGAGCCTTACCCGACCCAAGTATAATTTCTTCCTTGTTCAAACTCCAGGCTTTAACCAAAGCTACCACAACCCAAAATGCGCAGAAGGCAGACATGTCATCGTGCATCTTTTTGAATGGAAGTGGACGGATGTTGCCTTGGAGTGCGAGCGATTCTTGGGGCCTAAAGGATTCTGTGGAGTTCAGGTACGTATTTAAGTACTGCATTACTCCCGAAGCAATAAATGAACTAGTACTACCCAAGGGGTACTAAATCTATGCGAATATATTCATGATATTTTTGTTTCACTACTTTTGTGTTTTCATTTTCATGTTGGAAAAAAATCTGGAGTAAAATATTAGTTTTTCTCAGAAAACAGTCATGTATTGTTTACCGAAGAAGCCGAAGGTCGCCAAAATGTCAGGGAGTGTGGATAGATTTGTTTAAATTGAATCATGCACTGTCATGTTGTTGTGAAACGACTAGAACCCGAAAACAAAGGGAACATAACACCACCAAAAGAATGACTAATGTGTGTTGTTTTGAGGATGTTCACATCTCCACCGTTATAAACATCTGCTTCACAAGATAATGATTCATTTTGCTATGAGTCGGTCATTGTTCAACTTTTTTACATGAACATATTTTCATTTTACCACCAAATAAGTGAATGAATCATCTAAGTGCGCTTCACATTTTTACTTATTAGGTCTAGCTAGTTTTGTTTTCAAATAATAGGTGTCTCCACCAAACGAGCATCGAGTTATAACTGACCCGAGCTACCCCTGGTGGCAGAGATATCAACCAGTCAGCTACCTCCTGCACAGTCGCAGTGGCAATAAGACGCAATTCAGGGATATGGTTGACCGATGTAATGCCGTAGGTGTAAGGTATTAGTAGCCTTTAGGGCACAATTGTTCCCTCTTAGTACCCAACCTGCAATGATAAATCTCGTAGGACATTGCGCTATTTCCCCGGAAGAGTTTATTTTGACATTTTCCCCAAATCATTAGTTTTCAATCTTCAATTAAGGATAATACAAAAAAAACTAAGAGTGTCATAAAATCACATCAAGAAAAATTAACATAAAAGCAAAACCCGATGTGTAACAAGAGATACGAAGACTTGCATTTTAATTCTTTTACTATTGTAGAATCTACGTTGACGTTGTCATCAACCACATGGGTGGCCACAAAGGAATAGGAAGTGCAGGAAGTTCATTTGACTCGAATCGATTGCTTTTCCCGGCAGTTCCTTTCGGCCCCAATGACTTTAGCTGTTGCGAATGCGATGCTTGTAAAACAGCCTCTTGCAACATCGAAAGCTATTCGGACGCGCAACAAGTTCGGAATTGTCGCCTTCTGGGGCTTATAGATTTAGCACTGGCAAGGGATGAAGTCAGGCGAAAAGTTGCAGGTTACCTTAATCAACTTATCGATATTGGTGTTGGAGGATTTCGAGTAGATGCCGCTAAACACATGTGGCCAGATGACATGAAAACTCTCTTTGCATCTTTACATAATCTGAATACTAAATGGTTTCCCATTGGCTCTCGTCCTTTTGTTGCCATGGAAGTCATTGACAATGGAGAGCATGAACCAATCAGGGCATCAGAGTATATTCAACTAGGAAGAGTGACTGAATTTAAATACGGCGCACATTTAGGAAAAGCATTTCAAAAACGATATCCTCTCAAGGATCTAAAAACATTCGGAACATCCTGGGGAATGTTAGAATCCAAGGATTCTCTAGTTTTTATTGATAACCATGATAACCAGCGAGGTCACGGTGGAGGGGGTGACGTTCTGTCCTTCTATTCTCCAAGACAATACAAAATGGCCGTAGCGTTCATGTTAGCCCATCCACACGGTGTTCCTCGCCTAATGAGTAGTTATAGCTGGGATGGTGGCCCCGCAGATAACGACTGGATGGGCCCTCCAGCCAACACAGAAGGCCGAACCAAAGATATCACAATCACGAAAGGGCAATGCGATGACCGATGGGTTTGCGAACATAGATGGCCACAGATTGTCTTAATGGTGGCCTTCCGTAATGAAGTAGATGGTACATCTATTGACAATTGGTGGGACAACGGTGGTCACCAGATAGCGTTCAGTAGAGGAAACAAAGGATTCCTAGCTATAAACAATGAAAACTTCGACATGAATGTAAGGATCAAAACCGGTCTCCCTGCGGGCAAGTACTGTGACATAATGTACGGTTACCCAACTGATTACGGATGCTCTGGAAGTACAGTCGTCGTGGACAGTGAAGGATTTGTTAATGTTCAGATTGGAACCACTTTAGTTGATCCAATGTTAGCAATACATACAGGTATGTAGGATACTATAATTCACCAACATGATGTCACCCCTTTATCAGTGCTTTCAAATTACATATAGCACTTAAATATCCTATGGCCTAACAGTGAGAAGACATTTTTTGAAAAGTTACCAACATTTGATATAATTTGTGTGAATGAGAATTAGTTCAACCAATCGAGTCACGAAAGTGCCAGTACACTTAAAGGGTAACAGTCGAATGTCTACTGACGTCATCCATTCTCAAAGTGACTCTGATACTTTTGGATGATGCCTTGAGTGTGCGTTTGGTGAATGCAATGCACACTAAGTAATTTAGGTTTAACCTTAATATACGTCTTCATGGTGACTTCAGGTGCTATGTATGGTACTGGGAGTAGTAGTACTGATTATGAGATAGACTTCCCCTCACCACTACCGTCAACACCTGGTCCGACTCGTAAGCCTGGAGAGGGAGACTTTCAGAGAACTGTTATTTTTCTTGAAGGAACTACTGTGATGGGGCAGAACCTGTTCATCCGGGGAGGAATAGCACATGATAAGAGAGAAGGTGTGTGTCGTGATATAATTAAAGTCAATGATTATAGTGACCGTTCATTTATATAAATAATCATAATGGACAACGTTTGGAAAATCTAATGACCAAAACTCCTATAAGCCATACAAATCATGATCAATAAATCAGTGATGTATAAGATAGGTATCATTATAATTTATTTTAAAGAAGGATTGATTCGATTAAAGAATTCTACCAAAATACTTGTGCAGGAATCGTTTAAAATGCATGTAGAAATGTAGTTTGGTATTTTTATTTAGGATGCACCGGGGAGGCTTCAACTAGCGCATGCGCAATCACAATAAAACAGAACAGTCTTGGAGGTTCCGCCCACTACGGGCCTTATAGAGATTGGGGTAGAGGAGACAACTTTTTAGATTGGTAAAATACAGTTCTATGAACAGTGATCGTTGCTATTAAGATGACAAGAAACTTGTTAATTAGTAAGAACCGAAGCAAAGGTAGCTGGAGTGTCAAATTTTGCGAGATTAAAGGCTAATTGAAGAATATCATATTAAATATCTGAATAAATATATTTCAGTAAAATATTGAGGACGATTTGCTCGCCTCACCATGCTGGCTATGCCAAAATTGAAGTGTCCCCCATTATTGATTGTCTAAATTGACCAGGTAGTGAATGTGAAACGGATATAACTTTATATAACAACTTTGATATTTAATTAATCATTAAATTAATTTTTAAGGTATGGGGTAGAATCTACGCAAGGCATGTATAGCGGGGAGGCCGCATCAGGAACGCCTTGTGCCTGGACAACCAATGACGTCACGCATGATGGACATCAACCTCTCAATGTGTAAGTATGGTTAAATGAAGATTGGGAGGGGAGCGTTGCATTGCATTTCTTTGCGTGTCATATCATTTTTGGGTGCCGAGGGTTCGTTTCATTGAACTCTCCAAGAACTCGAAGAATCGTTTTACAACTGTTATTTTTAAAACTCGGTTGGTCCTTCACCTTGTTTCATCTCATAATTTGTTTCTACAAGTGCTCCAACTTTATGAGCGTACTAATACATTTGATATGATGAATGGATTTTATTCATGAATGTCTAATGTACTTTATCCCTTACTCTTTAATTCAGCTACGGAGAGCACTACTGGATGACTGATCTAAACATGGACTGCTCGGAGACTGAAGACGGTTGGTTTGAGTTGAAAGGCTACATAACAAATTCTGACAACAATTGGGAAGGAAATATTGAGCAGGTTGACAGTTGCGAGGGAGCTGCAAGTGGATCCCGGCCATATAGCATGGGCAATCACATGGCCCGGTGTGGTTACATAAATGTGTTCAGATGGAATGACAATGGATGTCGCATTGAAACATTTAGCTGATTCGTTACCATGTTAACTCCGTGTTTGTCATATCATGATAAACGAGATACACCCCTCCCCAAAAATTGGGGAATAAGGATTGCCAAGCTTTTGGAGGAGAGTGTATGTTGTCTCCACCCATGTTCAGTTGTGAAAAACAATAATTAAATTTGGACTTCCATATTTATATTATCCAAATATTTATATTTGCTCAAAAGTGAAAAAAATATTAATACCGAGAAATATATTATAACTGTTATATGTCATGTATGTAGTTTTATATTTTTATATATACATTTCTATAACATAAAATTTGAAATTGTCAGTGTCTTCATGTTCAGGCGACTTTTTATATTTATTGAAACAAAAAATCCATTTCATGCCCTCTGTAGTCTGTAACTACATAATCGAATCCGCTTTAGCTACAAAGATAAACATTTTCCGATACTTCCATAGTAATTGTACACCTCTGTCCTATTATTTTTAAAAATATCGGACCCTTTCAGTATAGCCAAGCAAGGATGTGTCTGATGAATGAGAACAGTATGGCCTAATTCAACCAGAACGGCTTATTACATTATTTCAGTTAATCTTACGAATGGCACTCTACAGTGTGTCCCAAAAAAAAGGAAACCAGCAATAGATTGCTTATTTCTCAAATATGAATAATAATAGGAACATTTTAAAGCTACCATCTGATAGGTTATGATGTCCTTTTTCTTATGATACCAAAGGTGTTTATTTTTCTTCACGGATGACCGAGTTCTAAGAGATTTAAGTGACCATGTCAGAAATTGGTTTGTGCCACTTTTTCTGTCATGAATGGCTGAACAATGAGGGATTAAAATGGCTATGCAAGACCATGTCCTATTCGAAATACACATTTCTGAACAAGCATTCAACATAGCAAGTTCATGCAGCTGACCCAAGATCAAAGAGTATTCGTAGTAAGTAAGTGGCTCAGAAGTGGGAGCCTTCAGCAGGTTGCTGATCAGTTTAGAGAACGCTTCCCAGATAGAAATGTACCTGCTAAGTCGACAATCTTGAAGAATATCAAGAAGTATCAGAGAGAAGGAACAAGTCTCAATGTCAACAAGGGACGTTCTGGAAGAAGAACAGCTCGGTCTGATGAAAACATCAGGATTGTCGCAGCAGTGGAGGATCTAAGGGGACAGAGAGACATCATCAGGGATGCAGTACGTGCGATGAGATCAATGGCAGACATTTGGATTGAAAGGAATGGGGGTCATGTTGAAGGACACTGGGGTTAAAACAACTTTGAATGGACATTGGGATTTAAAAGGGGTGTTATATATGATATGTGTAATTTTAATTGGAATAAATGAGTAAAAGAGTGATATCCTGATGTTTGTTGTTACTTATCACTTTGTTATGATGGTGAAATTGACTTGGCTGAAAGTGGTACAAACTCATTTCTGACATGGTCACTTAAATCCCTTATAACTCAGTCATCCAAGAAGGAAAATAGACAACTTTGGTATCATAAGAAAGAGGACATCATAATCTATCAGATGGTAGCTGTGAAATTTTCCTATCATTATTCATATTTGAGAAATAAGCAATCTATTGCTGGTTTCCTTTTTTTTGGGACACCCTATATTAGGAATACTCCCCATCCACATCTCTTGCAATTGCTAAGCAAGTTTACATTCCACTTCACTGTATATTACAGGAATTAGTCATATCCCACAATAATCCCTCTCTTTGATACGTTACAAACCATCTATTATTAAATCATGGATCAAACATAAGTATGTACTCAATGTGAAGAGAACTCGACTTATTAAATATAATATAACATCGCCATCCATAATTGTGCATGGTCTCCTTAATATAATAGAGACTTTAAGCTTGCATATCGAAAATCGAAACGCCTACCTATACGTATGACCAATCGCCCATACAAATACATCGCTTGAATATTTTCCGTTCACGTTTAGGTTGTTTAAAACATTGCAAGCTAAAACTTCCTAGTCTCCGAAAAGACCGAAAGATTTCTATTTGGTAGACTGGGGCGGAGTGGCACCATCCATACAGATCGGACAGGTCCCAGCACATGGAATAAATTGAAATACTTTCGGACCAAGGATGGAGAGACATCCTTTGACGTCAGTAATGCTGCAATAAAAAAAGCCGAAACAAAAATGAAAAAGGTCCAACACTGTAACAAATCAATTAAGGTAAGTGATAGAAACATTGACCGTTTAAGTTGAATATGTGTTTTCATCGAACACGTGTGTTTTACAGAGAAAATTGAAGTTCAACAACACTCCCACTAATTAATGAATGCCCTGTCGAACTGTCGATTTGTCTACGTTCTAATATATTGAACTTTTTTGATTTTCCTATTATTTCTTTCTCAATCATTGATCAATTTGTTTGCACACTATGTAACCATACGAAAATCTATATATATTCCTATCGCTTGTTTCTGGTTGATCAGTAATACAGGTTGGGCCAAGAAAACAATTAGCAAATTATGATTGAAAATAAATATGCCATGCCAGACAGTATGTGTCATAAGAATAAAGGATATCCTAATTCCAAATATTTTGGTACTAAGTTATCTTAATGCATTTTGCAACACAATGCTTTTTTGGGATAGCGATCAGTTTATGCGAAACGGATCTGTTTCGGGAACAGCGTAATCGAGTTCAGTACAAGTGAAAATCGTCGGTATTCTCGAAAATTATCCTCATAATGGTATATCATATCATATGTGCAACATGTGATATGTTATTGTGAAATAAATACGTTTTAGTACGTTTTCAATTTGTATCGTTATTTCGGCCCACCTTGTAAACGGTTAAGTAATTGTTTTGTTGCGGGACACAACATTGAATAGCATTTGAAGCAGATCGAATTGATTCTAAAACAAATGTGTAAGGGTACACCACTGAAACACCTCTGACATTCATTATTCAGTCACGAACTAGGTCAGGAGTTACAACTAATTATGATTTATGTAAGTAGCTATAAGACTATATACCTTGTTGTAGGTTTAGAATGTAATATAATAGATAGAGCTAGATAGATCCTAGATTTTGCGTGATTAGACTAGATGTGTAAATGAAAAAGTCGAATCAAATATAACTTGAGTTGAATCTTTAACCAAGCAAGAAGCCAAAACTAGCACTTTTTTCTTCATCCTAGATTTATTCAAATCACAAAAAATGATTAGCTTGAAAATGAGAAATCTCCGGCACCCTACAGTAATTTGAGTTGACAGTATCCCAGTATCAAGGTAAGATGAATGATAACTTAGTGACTTGACGATAAAAGTTGTTAGATTTTGTTGTTCTATGTGGCTTTAAGGTGCGATGGTAGTAACAGGAAATGACAAAACAAAAAGTGACGAAACCATGCTGTATTTTCAAAATTTTTTGAACCAAGATAACAGAGTTCTGTTTTAACCTCCAGTTTAACTAGTTCCTGATATCATTTACATGACGGGGAACACAATTGGAAATGGTCAGAATGACCCTTAACATGATGAAATAACCTTTTCAGCCCTCTGAAAATGTGACTGAAAATAGCTAAAAGTAGGTGCTCAGGAAAGGTCACTGAACAGAATCTTTGATTTTTTCAGAAAATGTATCCAATATACATGTATTGCTCTAAATGATACAATCATTGATATTTTTAAAAATTGTCTGAAATAATAATGGCTGTACTAAAAAGGAAAATAGATCGTTTTTCAATTCCTGTTATTCAATTCCTGTTAACTACCACCGCACCTTAACCATCATTCATACTTTGGGAGTCCTGTATATCTTTCGTTGCTTTCGCCAACTTGGGTTGTTTATATTCATTATCCTAGCATATTCTGTCGACAAGAATCTGTTGTTTATTTTAGAATTAATAATTGTTTGATATTTCAGACAGCGTCGTAATATGCCAACATGGACTTGGAAAAGTATAAAGACAGAGAGCAATAATGATGTACGATATCGAACATGAGTGTGGACAAAACAATATAGACAAAGACTATTTGACAACAACAAGGTCTTACACATAACCATCGTGGAATCTTATGTACAATGTAATCTTTCAGAAAGGCACCAATGAAACAAATTGGTTCAACAACTCATCCGTTGGTGATATAACAAGAAAAGCGAGAGATAATCCAAGCGAAAGTGAAACTCGTAATGAAAAGGGCATGTGATAGCTTATTACTATATATGGAGGAGAGGAATATTATACATTTGCGATTTAGACCATCACTCGACGTTTGACATATCAGAAGAGGAACTATATACAAGTGAATTTAATCGTTGTTAGCATCTTGAATGTACAGTGTATCGTCGTTTGTCAATAAAGTAAATCGATATGCATCGTACATGATCAACAAAAGATTTAGTCAAAACGTGACAAAGTTATGCACAACATTACCGATGATGGCATTCGATTTGACCCTCCAAATGTTATACAGTTGATAGTGATAATGTCACTTGGAATAGCAGTAGTTGTCTCAAACTATATTGTCATATATGTAATCGTACGGACGCGGTCTTTGCGATCCCAATCAGGGGTCTTTATGGCGTCGGGTGCCCTAAATGACTCGACGATCGGAGTAACAAGTTTGGTGTTTTTCCCTTACATGATAAAGGGGCAATTTAGTAATGTCTTTTGTAGCATACTTGGATATCTTGCTTTTAGTGCTATCCAAACGAGGCTTGGAATATTGACCGTCATGAGTGTAGACAAATGTCTCACCATAAATTACCCATTCACGTATCCCATGAAGATGTCGGTGACGCGTGTTGGTGTGCTCGTTTCAGTGATATTTGTGCAGGCGTATTTATTTTGTTTGCCCGTGTTGCTGCATAGCCACACTTACCGGCAACATGCGTTTGTTTGTGAAATGAATTGGTTAACGCCATCTATATATCCTTACGTTGCCCAAACCTGTATCTACTTACAACTTATAATAATGACTTCGTCACACGTCATCCTATTCCTCATAGCAAGACAGCAGCTTAAGAAAATGAAAGAACTTGGTCAAGGGGGCTCCATATGCGATAAAAAGAACGAAACCTCAAAGAAAGGATGGGTTGGGACAAATATCAAATCTCAACTCAGAGGGATAAAAACATTATTCCTATTGGTTGGGATATTCTACATTTGCTGGATAACGTACATAGTTGCTCAAATTATGTATCCTACATTTACCAGGAATCTCGTTCAACTTCATGTTGTTAACTTTCTCTCTATTTGGTTAGGAGTTCTAAATTTATCATGTAATTGCATCTTGTATTATCTCACGAACAAGGCATTCTGTTCTGGATTCAAACGGTATATTTTACATAAAAGAAACACTATTGATACAGAAACGTCAATGTCTTTGTCCCTGACAGGATAAGGCATAGACCTTGGTGTTCAGATCGAAAATGCTTATAAAGTCTCCAGGATTGATTAATTGAGGGGATAAGGCGAACACTCTGATGTTCAGATCGTTTGTAAAATGCTTATAAGTCCCAAAGATTAATTGATTAAGAGGGCCTTTTAGATTTTTGAAGTTGAACTCGTTTTTACATGTCTTTCGGAATAAAATAAATCAAGCTAATATAAGAAATCGAGTCTAGAATCTTCTATTTTTGCTTGTTCGGTGTAAAATCAAATAGCTAGTTTTACACTGATTTTCGTTTAAAATAATTCCAATATAATTATAGTCCAGTGGTTAGAATATAAAGAGAAAGCGTCTAGACAATCTTAGACTAATCATCTGATTGTTCCGGTCGACCTTGCATAGTGAAAAGAGACTCTTTAGTTCATTTTGATTTACAGAAAATATTGTATATTTAATTCCATTAAATATCAATTATGGCGCAGAAACATGGCTTTCAAAAGGAGACTGTCCCAAGTTTATCGAACATCTATCACCTTTTACACGCCCGGTGATCGGAAGAAATGAACTAAGGGGAGTAGCTGATTTTCAGTAGAAAAGAGAAAGTTTACAATCGAATGGCTAAATGAATAGGCGCAGTGCACGGGGAAATATGTTAGGTCTTTTAGGATTTTTTTTGAACTGATGGAGTTCTAAGATAAAAGATCTATTAAAAACGGCGCAGCGTCGCAAACGTGCAAATGCCAATATTTTTGCTATAAATCAAGCAACAGGGGTCTACACGACCTGTAAGTGAAGTTATAATCACAAAACTATTGTCATCGTTGGTTTTGTAAAACAAGTTACCGTACATTATATAAAAAATAATCGAAAATTATTAAAATTGAACGGAGGGGGAGAAATGTGTCTATAAGAAATATGATAAGAGATGTAACTTGACTTTATTTCCAATAATTCAATATGTCCTTATTTTTCACTGTTCAGAGTATAACATCAAGTTGTTACTGAGTTACCCAGTTCATTTTTCAAATACGCGAATTCGCGAAAATTTCTTCCACTTTAAAGACATATTACCCCCCCCCTCCTCCGTTCAGTTTTAATTATTTTCGATTATTTTTTATCTAACGTTGGAAACTTATTTTAAAAAACCGGCAATGACATTAATTTTGTGATAAAAACATCGCTTATATTTATTAATTACAGGTCGTACAGACCATTGTTGCTTGATTTATAGCAAATCATTGACATTTGCACGTTGGTGACGCTGCGCCCTTTTTTTAATAGATCTTGTATCTTACAAGTCCATCAGTTCAAAAAAAATCCTAGAAGACCGCGCCTATTCATTTAGCAATTCAATTGTAAAGTTTCTCTTAAAAAAATACATCTTCCAGACTTCTAGCGAAAATCAGCCACTCCCCCTCCGTTCATTTCTTCCGATCACCGGGCGTGTTTTAGCTCGCTTGTGTCACACTGCCAACCTTATTATAGTCCATGGTATGACATTTCTGTGACGTCTTATAAAGGGACTGGAATTGTAGCACGCTAATAAAGGATTTAAGCCCTGGATTCAGTGCATTTTTTGCTGAATCATACCATGAAGGTGTTGTTTCCAAACCTTTGCATGACCGTGTTGTTAATTTTGTCATCTTCATCAGTACTTGATCCTAAATCTTCTTTTGCCTCTTCATTGCTATCTTTTACACTTTCATTGGTTTCATAAATAAGGCAAGCGACAGTTTTTTTCCTTGCCTTATAGAGGCTGAAACAAGAGCATCTCTTGCGAGTCCTGAAAACAAATATAGGAAAATTCCGTATTCCATTTCTTACCCATTATAACAATAACATGGAAAGAAGCTATCAGATCTAGTAACCTTGACTTGACAGATGTACATACACGTAACCGTCCGCTAAATATCTTATTTACAACTAATACAATACGTTACCGTCCATAAAATTCGATAGAAGTCGTACTTCGTCTAACGACATTGCGTTTGAAACCTTATTATTTACGATACACACCATGTTCTTGTTCTGGATTTGTCATTTTATGCCTTGTTTATACACAGGTTACTTACAGTTAATATTTTGAGTGGCTCTGAGGCACATGTACTGAGAAAACACGAGAATGGACCAACAATTATAAACTTGGATATCTCAGTCGGTAGGTTTACAGCTTATATTCTGTTTCTTGTAGACCACCTGGCAGATTTGACCGAGTCTTTATAACCATCCATATATACGTCACCGAATGGAACTAGTTTAAAGGGAAATCTTGTCTGTGAATATTGCCTACAGGCGAGAAAGAGGACATGCTGCCTTTCCCATCCGCCATTTTTTGTTATCGTTACCGCAGAATTTTGCAAATCGCCTTGACGTAACCGTCATGCTATAACACCGTGATTATACTATCTTAGTTTTACTCTATATTTATGTTATAACATACATTTAGACATGCAAATTACATCGAGCCTCGAGAATTACGAGTCATTACGGGCAAAAAGGAGCACCATCCTCGTACTGGCTCGAAGTAAATCCATGAATGTTTAAATTGCAGTTCCCCATTTGAGAATGCAATAATTCAAGTGACTATTAGTGAATAATAAATTGATCTTAAAGATTAAAAGTTTAACTTGTTATGTACATTAAATAACATACCTAGTATTTGGGAGATCTTAAGGTGCCATGATTCGTAACAGGAAACTGGCGAAACAGGAAGTGACAAAAAATTTTGCACTTTTAGAGATTTTTTGAACAAAGATAACAGAGTTCTGTTTTGACCTCCAGTCAATTTAACTATTTCCACATTACATTTACATGACCAGGATCCCAATGTGCATGGTCAGAATGACCCTTAACATGATGAAATAACCTGTCCAGCCCTTTGAAAATGTGACTGAAAATTAGCCAAATCATCTTAATGTAGGAGATAGAGAAGGTACATAAAAAGGTCATAAAAAGGAAAATAGATCGCTTTTCAAATCAGTTTTTTTTTCTATAAATGATATCAAAATTTCAGAGATTGTATCACTTCGAGCAATATATTGGGCACATTTTCTGAAAAATTCAAAACATTCTGTTCAGTGGACTTTCCTAGTTCCTACTTTTAGCTATTTTCAGTCACATTTTCAGAGGGCTGAAAAGGTTATTTCATCATGTTTAGGGTCATTCTGACCATGAACATTGTGATCCTGGACCTGTAAATGGTATGTGGAACTAGTTGAATTGACTGGAGGTCAAAACAGAACTCAGTTATCTTTGTTCAAAAATTGTCTAAAAATGCAAAAATTCACTTCACATCCTGTTTTGTCATTTCCTGTTAAGAATCATTTCAAATATGATGTCACTACATGACTAAATTAAGATTGTAATATTTGATATATAAATTTTGATTCTGTAACAGAAAATGAGACAACAGACAACAAAACAATCGTATTGTTTGTTCTTTTACGATTGTTTGTTCTTTATCAAAGGATTTTGGGACTTTCAATGGGTTGCACTAATTATTTCAATGATATTAGATTGCATCGAAACATGTCTGGTATTGAGTCCACTTTCACGAAATCAGGTTGATGAAAGGTAAAGTCAGACCTGTATTGTTACGTATATTTTAGATTCTCATTTTAGATTGCTCTTGAGAATCATCGGTGACATGACAACGGTAGAACACAACCTGTATAACTCAAACGAGTTCACTCGACCAGTTTTATCATCTCGCTCATAGCTGTGAGAAGGTATGTATAATTTGCCATAGGTTTACACCTTGTAATGGGGAATAAAAAATTCAAGTAATATAATTATTTCACATACACAAATATGTCTGTGTGAAGTAAAATACAAATACAATGCGTTCTATAATATTTTTGGAGTTATGGTATGAAATATCCGCTTTAAAAAAGCAATTTAATTATGATGTATCATGTGGATTAGTAGACGTTCTGATTGGATTCATGAACAGACTGGCTAGGTTTCAATGGAATCATTTTGAATGTGTGTATTTTTAATATTTTAATCCACAGTGTCCAAAAACAATAATAATGCTATATTGGTAATTGGAAAGATTCCACTTACCACGATTTCAAAAAATTGTAAATAGATAATAATACTATTCTTGAATTATGGTCATTTGTTTCAATGAATCTGGAGGCTCGTTCAGCTGAGCTGACAAAATCATCAAGATATACGGATGGTCCATCTGTTGGCTGCTCATTGTCACTTTCAAGGAATGTTAATGGCTCTGAAACTTGTAGCCTTGCCCAAGTCGGTATTTACTTATTTATCTGATCTTGAATTATTACCACCTTGTACAATCCAATGTATCATCGCTGATATTATGCTAAGTTATTCAGCGGTTCCGAGATTCCCATAATACCTAGGCTACCTAAGGGTATCGCAAAACCATATTGATTGACAATATGGACATGGACACAACGTGTGACTTCAGGCTGATTGACCCATCAAAACGTTATCAGGTTGACCTGCATAAAAAAATCAAACTACCCGTATAGGACTTGAAATTCAATGATCTGATCGAGTGTTTCTTGAGAGTTACAATATGTTATGTTATTAAATGTACATTGGAATGTAAGCAGTCATTAATACTCGTCTAAATGAAATCATGCAATTCAATGTTGATTCAAAATCAAAACTGAATTCGCGATGGAAATGCACGAAGACCTAGTCCGACAATGTAGGGCCGTCGTTGATTTGTCAAATTTTACCTACAAAAACATTGGGTCGGTAAAGCACGTGGCTTTCTCTTGGGTACAAGGCGGTCATAATAGAAATCAAGATAAGTAAAAGAGACCGACTTGGGCAAGGCTATGAAACTTGATTTGTGGGTATTCCAGTGGGTCGATGGGTCTTTTGCCCTGAATTCACTTCATTGGCGTACCTAATTTCAACATTTTCATTGTCATCATTACATGTTATGAACCCGTTTTCAAATTAACAGTATTAGCGATAAAACCATAGTTTTTGGCTCACACAGTGAGCCTATGGGATCGACCAGGCGTCCATCCGTTGGTCCGTTCGTCCGTCCATTGGTCCGTCCGTCTGTGAACATTGGCTGCACAAATTAAAACTGCTATTCGGATTGAGTCATTTCCACATTCATTTTATGCATATCCATAATGTCTATTTGACCTATCATCGCCATTTTCCAAGTTCGCCCGGTTTCCGAGAAATTGCTGATTTTTAAATTTCGAGAAAAATCGATCTGATGATAGTCTTATA